CATAATTCTATTTCCATCAAAGCATGATATACCTTGAGATATCTTCTACTTTTAGCATTAAAACAAGAAAGATAAAGTGCATATTGCAACATAACTGCTACCAGCATGGCAAGCTAGTAGTTACCAAGTATGCAGTAAGTACAGACCCTGACCGATGATGTTCCACTTGAGTGTTTTTTCCTCTCCATGAAATGAACAAAGTCAGCACTTATGCATGTTCCAGGACATGATAGATTTTTGAAACTCGTCTCCGAAGTAGTGGCTCTAACCTGAAAGTCGGAATGCTGTTCTGCCACTTCTTTGCTTCATACATCTCATTCCACGCCTGTACTATCTCATTGATATTGAACCCTAAGCCTGCAATCATATATAGGTCAGACATACATCAACACTGTGATGGCTTTGTCTGGTGAGGTGGAGAATACAGGACTCGAGAATGTTAAGTGCCTATTTGAGCCCCATTTTTGGGTCAAAATGCATTTTGAAATGGTATTTTGTTGGAAAATGTATAGTTAAAAAATAAGGAAAATTTTTGGGTTTTTCGTATAAAATTATTTTATGGGAGAATGTGTGGTTGAAAATGAGTTTTGAAAAAATGAGATTTTGAAAAAATGGGGGCCAAACATAGGCTAAGAAAGAAAATGAAGTACATTGTCGTGTACTGCATTAAACTTGCCCTAATAGTCTCTGTAGTAATATGAAATATCAAACTAATTTAGACACTCCATTCATATATCACCTTCGAGTGCAGTATCATTAGAACAATGGTTCTTTATCATGACAGCAACATCCGTTGAAGCAGCTCCAGCTTGTTCAAATTTTTCAATAGCAACCTCCAGACATGCCATACAGGAATGCCAATTTTTTATTCCATAATAGATCTTTCATATAGCATGGTACCCCATAAAACATATATCTGGGACCAGATATTTTCAGCATGTTCTTCAGCTTCATCTGCAGATATATCTTTAAACATATTACCCATATTCATTTTCAGCAACAAAGCCGAAATTTTATTTGGGTGGGAGAGTTCATTTTGACGTTGCTCCTCTGCCTCCTACCACATCTCCATACCTTTTTCGATATTTTCCTCAGCATCGTTGTAAAGCTGAAGAACCTCTTTCGTTGCAGGCCATGAATCCAGATCAACATTTGTGGCAATAGAATAATACCAAGAAAGTTTTGCCTGCTCAAACTGTTACTGTGCGAGAGCTAGAATGGCGTCATAGAAGTCTGGTTTAATTTTCAGCGCTTCGTCAAATATTTTTCCTGCTTCTACATATTCCTTTTGAGCCCAATCATATGCAGATTTGATCCGTGCAAGTATAGATTCCTTGGAAGAATCCTCTGTAAAATATACCCTCTTTCTTGCTCGGGACATGTGAACATTTCCCCAATTGAATAAAGCCAAAGCTGCCATCTCCTGGAACTTCTCTGCAGCTGTTGCAAAAAGGTCTTGTGCCTCGTCACTAGTGACTGTTTCTTCCATAGCTTCAGAATATAGCTTCACTCCGAGCTCATGCAGATCTATATAAGCATCAGTATCGAATCCGACATAATTCTTGAATAGTTGAGCGAACTGGATGATCCAATCATTGATAAAAACTGTCCGATTCTCGATTTCCTTTTTTCCCCTCAAATTTCCATTTTCAGTAATGCTATCTTGGTTTATGTCTAGCTTACGCATGACTTGTCCTGTTTTAACCTTTTCAAAGAACTGATCTTGATCTGGATTAACTTCAACAATATACAGCTTGATAGAACCACTTTCTATAGATGCTTCAGCCCTCCTCAGTTCTTCAGTTGTAGTGATTGTGACCAAGTCACCTTCTTGATCGCTATACTTGACAAGAACAGCTTTTGAGCAAGGGTACCGATCAGAAATTATTTCCCTCAGTTTCAAAATACTGCAGTTGACAGGAATCTGAGCCCATCTTATATCTTCTCCGAATACTAATTTCACCGTTCTTTTAAGATCTGCCTCCATCGTGTTACTTTTTTTCTCTACCTCCACCACCACCTTGTCTTCAGCCTTCTTTTCTTCGGAATTCTTTAACACAACTTCATCTTCAGCCTTCCTCACCTCAATTTTCTCCTTCAGTTTCTTTTCATCACTTTGATTCTCAGCCTCTTTTTCCCGGTTTTCTCCTCAAATTTCTTCTTCCCCACATTGCTTTTCTTCTTCCTCTTCGACTTCTCTTTGACCACCTCGGTTGGTGTTGAAACAGAATGCAGTTCAAAATATTCAGGTAATGGAATGGCATCAAGTAGAACGTCATTATCTGTGGTGCCCTTTTTTCGATTGCTGTTTTCACCCTTCCTTCAATTTCAGCTGCCATGAAATTATTCGGTTCCATCTTCAAAACAGTCATAACATCATTGAGTGCCAAATCCAACCGATTCAAAGCCTCATAACATCTCGCTCTTTTCAATAGTGCCTTACTATACTTCGGAGCAACTTCAAGAGCCAAATTGCACTCATGGATTGCCCTCGGAAATTCATTAATGCCCAATTGCATATAACACGCAGCCATATTACTCCGAAGGTGGGACACATCGATATGGTTCCTCGGAAGCAACTTAATAGCTTTCTCATATATTTAACATAGCACCTTCATAATCCTTGCTTTGAAACAACTTATTCCCCTCATCCTTCACTTCCTGCGACAATAAAATGAACGCTGCAGTGTCCTTATCAATCGCTTTTGGGCTGTTCTCACTACCTCTACTTCGTCTCAAATCAAATGACTTATTTCCACCCTCTATTTAGTTCTTCCCACTATTCTTCCCCATATTAAACTCGAGATTTAAAACTTCAGAAAAGTCTATAAAGTATAAACCTTGTTTAACCAACAATTTTAACTGAATCAAATCCCAGGTCTAAAAATTGTGCTTTCCAATTACAGGAACAAAATGATCAACTTATAAATAAACAAGAAATTGAAGAAAATTCACCAATCGAAACCAGCTTATACACAGAACAACAACACAAAAACTCATTCCAATATCGCTCTAAACCAAATTTACATTCAAATTACATGAGATTAGCTCTGAGGAAAAAAAAAAAACAATCTTCAACCCCAAAAGCTTAAACAAAACTCCAAGAATGAAGATAGCCCAGAAAATTCCAAGATATTTTTGCCCGTCCAAATCCCAATTCAGAGAGAAATGAAGATGAATAAATATACCTTTATTAGGCTGCAAGCAACCAAACCAAGATTGCAGATTGTTTCTCTCTCTTTAAATAACAGCAAGAATATGAGGAAAAGATAAAAGAATTGATGACTTGCATGCAAAGATCCTGTCTTTATTAAGGAACCCTGAAAAAAGTTCTTGGGATTTTTCTGGGAAAATCAAGAAAAAAAATGTTTCTTGTTTTACTTTTGATAGGATTATCTGTTGCGAATATGTAAGAAGAAAACAAGAACCGGAAAATGTTTAAACAAGAATTTTGCAGCTTCACGTAAAAGACACATAAAATTAAAAAACAAAGTAAAGATCATCGAATAATTTTCTTTCACGTGGGATTTTTCTTGAGAACATCCGAATATCATGAGTATTATGTTGTTCGCCATTCGACATGGGGCAACAAAGAGTGTGGAACGCTTCCCCTTTTTTCCAAGGTTTGTGGCGGAAGTTAACGGCCATTTCTCATGTTTTATTTATTTAAACTACTTTGTCTTAAATAAATTAATATGTGTAAATAATAAGAAAAAAATTACAAATTAATCCCCAAGAAATATTTTGGCAATCTTAACCTCTAACCTTTCATTTTTGTAACTTCTGGATCCTCAGTTGATGATTTTACCTCTCTTTAATTACAAACTCAAGACAACTTTCTCCTGCCGTTTAATTACCAATAAATAATTTAAACAAATTAAATTAAATTAAACTTTTAATAATTTGAAGACCCCAACCATAAATTTTCCAAATAACATACGATAAAACTTAAAATTAAGGCTTTAAATAAGTTTTAAAAAGAATTAACATCTAATAACTTCTCAAATTTGTATTTTCTTTTTTTACATGATTATCTAAATTTATGATATAAGGAGACTTGATTGTTCAAAGTGCTGGTATAAATATCGTAACAAAGCAATGTAGCCGGAGAATCTTGAGGTGGACATCGTTCCGAGCATGATAAAAGTACTAGTTTGGTGCATAACACGGTTCGTTTTTAACGGAACCATCAGCAAAAATGATTAAGATTGAACATGAATAGAGCACCAAAATAAGCCTATAACTTGCTGGTGAATCACATTGATTGGTCCATTCAACCAAGATTGTTCCTACTTCCTATCAATCCAGCACAAGAAAGTGTCTGGCTAAATTAGTCCTTCTTGACAGTAGATAATGCTTTCATTCACAAGAATCGGAACTGTTCAAAGAAGAATATGACATAATTACAATACTTATTTCTTTTTATTTTTCCCTTTTTTGCAACTACAGTTCAATTTTTCTTCTGTTGAAATAAATATCCTTTGCTTCGACATTCATTTCCTCTATATATAAGTTGAATATGAGTCAAAGGATTTCCAAGAATTCAATCCAATGAAAACTCTTCAAGCCATATAAGCACTTCATTCCTCTGAGAAGCATACATGCAACAAAAATAGAAATCAATTATTAAGATAAAATGCAAATTATTTGAATAGAGAAAAACGCAAGAAATAAATGATCACAACATATTCAGAGGAATGGCGTGATCTCGATAGAACAATTTAGAAGAGTGAGGGATAGACCAAAATTAACTCAGGCTATTGTAGTTGCTGATAATCAGGTCCATTAGAAATCTAGCAAGAACCCGACTGAGAGACCAAAAAAATTTGAAATAGCCTATTACAATTTTTTTGGAAACAAGGTTTAGTTTATTGTTGTTTCATTTCGAAAGAGAGAAATAGAGGAAAGAAGTCTTCATGGAAGCTTAGAAATTGCCCATTGAAACTGAAAGCCTCGAGTAAAAATAAGGAGCAAAGTAAATCCTAATAATAGTTAACTGCAAAAAATGCTTCCATTCATACCATTATGAAGCTTTTAGTCCGACCAGGGTCATTGTAGCGCGCTAACAAGCAACCCACTTTAGGTGTGAAACCGTCTTTGATTAGTATATATCTCAATTCTTTCTCCTTTTCTCGAGTAATATCCTCAGTTGGTTTTCCACTGAATTTCGACACTGCAGCTATACCTCCTTCCACCTTTCTCAAGCTAATTTCTGCTTGATTTGGGGCCGGTAAACTGATAAAAGTAAAACATATTTTATCGTTTGATTGTTCACACCATGCAAAGAAATGCAGTAAATTTATTCTCTGGTATTTGAATATTATCTAATCTGAATTTCGAGTCAACAACGAGAGCCAACATATCATTTCTTAGAAAATTTACTTTCAATACGTGAGAGTTGAGACTGAAACTTCACCTGTTTAAATCCTTTTCTGATGGAAGAATTATCTGAACGGACACTTCGGAGATTTCAGGGTCAAATGCCTGAGTGAACACGGGAGTTGTCATTGGTATCTTCTCCTCCGCCGAATTCTTTCCAAATATGTACCTAAAATGGATATACATATTAGATTATCCTATCAGGTAAAGAAATACTAAAAGAGGCACAAAGCAGGACTAGTTTGAAATTCTCACCCAGCAACTGAATTGAAACCACGTGAACCAGACAGCTTGTCCCCATCTGTTTCTACGACAATAAACGGGTCGTACTTTCTCACCTGCAGTTACACTCGGCATCTAGTCACTAATGTCTGCTAGATGGTCAAGCAAGTATGATAATTTTCACAAAAAGCAAGAACACATTCTTCAATTGAAATTTTTATGCATCTGTAATTCAAGAACGCGATACATCCGCAACCAATCTGTGGAAATGATATTTCTAGGAATTATATGCAAACTTATCTCAACCGATACAAAACATCATACATAGGCTAACATCAACTATGGAATAATATGTGATTTTTGAAAAATGTTAAATGATGCAAGAACATTGCAGACCTCATAATTTGCAGTTCTTTTCAGTATTTGATATTTTGGTGTTTCCAAGTCCGGAGTCTTGTAAATCCGCAGCTGCAAAAATTGAACTTTCAAAATATAGAGAACAAGTGAAATTGTAGAAAAAGAAATTTTCTAAAGCAATATAATGCATACTGTACCTGCTTTACCACATCTCGTAGTCCCTCCATAGAAAAGTACTCATTGTTCTCTATGGAATCCCAATAATCCTACAAGTGAAATCAATGCAGTGAATGACTGTTCATGTTAATATTACAATTCTAAATGTACCATTTTGGGGGATAACGGCATACCACATGACTGCAGAATTTCTTAGTTTCTGGATTGATTCCCATAACAGAAGTACCTGTGAAGACTAATTCAGGTTTCCAAGGCAAGAGAATGAACTTCATCACCATAGTCCACCTTGTAGTAATTTCATAAGGTCCTGTCTATAGAAACTCAATCAATCTATTGTCGACTAGTATCTAATCTTCCCTACCAAACATGTCATATAATTTTAACTAGTCCATATATATATAGATTCACATAATCCATAAAAGGTACGCAAAAAGTAGCACTAGTTACTTTGCTCAACGTTCATACATTTCCAACTTTAAGTGCTAGCGTAAGAATCGGAGTACCTACACTGGATGAAGCCTCATCAGTTCTAACTTCCATTTGTTTTGCAAACATATAGATAATCACAATTGAAGGAAGGACTATAACTATTTTATAGAAGATCAAACAACAACAGTGTTTAACTTTCCCTTGGAATCCAAAGAACAGAGGACAACTACAAATTTAATAGGGACAGCTTTAGGTACAACAATAAATTACCAAAAATAAAAATGATAACTCACAGTAGGAACGAAAAGTAGACAAAACTAAAATGAAAATTACAAATAGAACATCCAATTGAAGCTTGTGATTACTTATTTTCACCATTTTACACTGTCTTTTCCTTGACAATTAAGACAAGATATTAAAGGATAAAATATATTCCCTTCCTAAATGCTTAAGCTTTTATTCCTTTCTAACAACTTAAGCTTTCAAATGAATAACAAATTTCTGGCGTGACAATTATCCAATTTTTACTATAAAAAAAAAAATACAAATAACTGCTAAAAAAATCACACCTGTTTGGCCCAATGCAACTGAAAATCAGGGTTGAAGAGCTTCCTCAACATGGAAATATTAAAAAGGTAGCCACTTATGGTATCATGCTTGGTGATGGGGTCTCTAAACTTGACCCGTTCGTCATAAGCCGTGCGATCAATCCCCTGATCATCAAAGAGGTGTGGAAGATCCTCGTACAAGAAATCCACCAATTTCTGCACGTCAACAGTAGAGGGTTTTGGCGGGCTTTGTTCTTCAACTGTGCTGCTTAATCTAACCACCCATTTGTACTTTTTCGGGGCAGTAGTTTTAAGTGGTGGTATATTTTGGATTCTGATTGTTTGTTTGGGGAGAGAGGGGAAGAAAGAGGTTTTGTGGAGCTTCCGGAAACTGGTGAAGCTACTGCGGCTGGCTGGCCTTGGAATGTAGCCGGAGAAACGTGAGGTGGCCATTTGTTCCAGTATGATACTAGTCTGGGGGATAATTTGGTTCATTTTGAATTGAATGGTCAGGAAAAAGTGTATAATGACTATAGGTTAAAAGAAGACGGCCATTTATTTTTCAAGGTTACAAAATGTCATCTCTTGTTTTTTTCCCCATCTTTTTGGGAGGTGAGGACAAGGCAGCGATGGCAAAAAAGTTCGGAGGCTCGGACGGTTCGAAAAAAGTTCGAGTCGGGCTCGATGGAACCGAGCCCCACTTTGGGGAGTCGGCTCGAGCCCGGGCTGGGCCGTGGCCCGGGCGAGCCTCCTATTAATAAAATTAAAAAAAAAAAAATTGGAAGGCAGCTTGGGCCGTGGCCCGGGCGAGCCTCCTATTAATAAAATTAAAAATAAAAAATTGGAAGGCTGCTAGCAGGCAGCTACAACTAGCAGGCAGCTAAGAAATTTTTTTTTTCCGAAGGCAGATTGCTGCCTGTAGAAGCTGCCTGCAAAGGCAGCTAAGGAAAAAAAAAAAACTAAAAAATCCGGCTCGACTCGGCTCGGCCACTAAGGCTCGTGCCGAGCCTCATTTTTTTTGGACTGGCTCGGCTCGGATCGGGCCAAAAAAAGCTCGGTCCAAAAAAGCTTGGACTCGACTCGTTGATATCACTAGGACAGGGTTGATAATGCTCGGTTCAGTTCTTAAACACCCAAGTTCGACTCAATCCGCGTATCATAGAATTTGAATCTTGCCATCTAACCTCCAAACTTCAATTAAAAAGATTAAGTAATCACATGAATTTTGAATTCGTTAAAAATATACATACGTCGATATACCAATTCATCACATGATGGTAAAAGCCATACCCCTAGGTTTTTTTAACCAACATTTGGGTTGTGCAATTTGAAGGCATGGATTCATCTACCCATGATTCGAATACTAACACCATTGTTTGATTTTGATTTTCTCAAACTCATTTTTAATCATATGTTCTTCTAATAAAATAATTTTATATGTGAATCCATAAATTTTTCCTATTTTTTAACCATATATTTTTTAAAAATTCACTTTTCATAAAATCACTTCTAAAAAAAATCAAACAAGAATTAAATGTTGCAATTTTTTTGTTGGCTTGTCTCTTTCCAGTTGGGAAAATTAGGGTCATTGCCCTCCAAAATTAAGGAAATTGAATAATACCCCATTAACTAATTATAACATTTAATCACGTAATTAATACGTTCTAAATTAACCCCCCCAAAACCCAACCCAAATCAAAACCCTCGATTTCGATTCCAAAAACTCCCAAACCATTACAGCAAAGAAGCAGTATCGCAAGCTACGCGTAATTCGAGATCTGCATCAAGCTACTGCTAGAACCTCGAAGGACGTCTCACCCCATGAGTTTGTCAAGGCCTACGCCGCACACCTAAAACGTTCTGGCAAGATGGAGCTTCTCAAGTGGACTGATATTGTGAAAACTGGAGTACTTATAGAACTTGCTCTTTATGATCCTGATTGGTAATAGATTAGGTCGGCTTCCATGGCAAGGAAAATATACTTAAGGGGAGGTCTTGGTGTCTGTGCTTTTCGGAGAATTTACGATGGGAGTAAGAGGAATGGAAGTTGTCCACCCCATTTTGGCAAAAGCAGTAGGTTCGTTGCTTCTTTAGCAGTTGCAGAACAGGAACATTATAGATATGGATCCAAGGGGTGGAAGAAGAATCACATCCAGTGGACGACGGGATCTTGACCAAGTTGCTGGAAGGATTGCTGTCGTTGCACTTTGATAGATTATGTAGGCTTTAGTTTAAGCTTGTTGAAGAGAGCTCTTAGGAAAAATCTTTGAACCAATAAACCGATGTTTACACTCGTAACAGATGATGTTTTTAACTCGGTAATTTCTATAAAGTTTCATCCAGGTGTACTGTTGGAGCAAATAGTCGTATTTTGATTTTGATTTTGTTTTTATTTATGAATGTGATTTTGTTGAATTATACCCAAAAAAAAAAAAAGCCATTACAACAATGAGAAATCTTCATCCCACCTCAGCAAAGAGAAAAAAACCATTTTGATTTTGTTTTCATTTATGAATATGATTTTGTTGGCTATCTATATTATTTTTGTCACTAATTCCAATTTTTGATTGGTGTTTTGTCATTTTTCTTATGGTACTGAGCTTGAATATAATCTTTTATTTTCTATGTTTTGGATGTTCATGTCTGCTCAAGACGATTTTGATGTTTTCGATTGGTGTTTTGTCACTTTTTCGAATGTTTGCAGTTTTTTTAACTTTTTGTCATTTTTCTGAACGTTTGTCACTTTTTTAGTATTTGTCACTTTTTTCTATCACATTTTTTAAATTGTTCGTTACTTTTTTTTTTTTAAATTTCTGTCACTTTTTAAGTGACAAA